TTCAGCACGCACACGCGCCTCCCTGTCTGCGGCTTCGAAGGAAGTATTTTCGTTACCTGATAGTGGAATTGCACAAGGAGCAACGTGGTTTTAAAAGCAGCATAAAATAATCCCCGTTAACTTTATTCTTTTCCCCTACGGAACAACGGAAAAAGGCTGTAAATAAGATCATTCGTGTATTTTCAGTTTGTTTATTCTGCTCTGGTATTTTCGGTCTTTTGCTTGCTCGTTCATGTGGTCCCTTGCTGTCCCTCTCGCACAGAAATTCATAACCGAAACAGCAGTTGTGCTGTTTTCTTTTGTAAACGAATTACATTTGAAATCGATGTCGTCTTTGTAGTACCATGTAAAACGCAGTTATATCTGCTTGCTGTTGAAATGTTGAGGAAAAAATGCACTAGAAATGATATAAATACTCTTGCTTTAACACTCCCATTTCCAGGTTCTTTGCCTGCCGTTCAGTAAGTGTGTGCGATTGCCAATTTCTCAGGGAAATGTTTAATTATATAAAAAATACAAACCTTCACCTTGTAAGATTTTCAAACAGATTGCGTGGAAACACGTACTATCTTGAGGCATTTTATTTCATTTGCTTTTCAGTGACCGTATTTTGGGGCATGCACGTTGAAATGACTCTAGGCTTTTCAAAGTGTGCAGGGTCCAAATCTAAGCACACAAGTACGAGCAATGTCTCCTCTCAGCTGCATTGTGACAAGTGCAATCTGAGTTCAGAAAGCCGTATTTTGGATACTGGCATAAACATACATGCACACACCTGTATTATATCCTGCATTTCTGTTTAAAGGAGTTTCCTGGTCTGCTGGGTGTTGCTGTATGTACTCAACCAGAAATCCAATAATGAAAAAATCAAGATAGGGTGAAGTGTCTGTTTTCCACAGTTGGAGCTTTGCTATTTTTTATCCATGGGCCCAGAATTTCATCCAATGTAGTTGTGAAGCTGCTAAGACACAGGCTCCTACTTCAGAAAGGTTCATAAGGAAATGAGGTTTCTAGGTACATGAGTTTTAATATAATGTATATCCATTAAAAACTGATTATAGTTTAATTAGCAAAATAGTTTAATTAAACAGCAAAATAAAGCTGCACATAGATTAGCTTTATTCTTGTATTTTTTAGTAGATTCACAGTTATGTTAGCTATAAATAATCATTTAATCTCTCTGAATTTCTTCTCTGATTAGGACTTTCCTAGTAATCAGGTAAGAATCATATTTTCAGTGGGATTTAGATGGAATGGCAGACAAGAAATCCTACTGATGAAACATGATACAGAACAGAATTTTTGCCTCTTTTCATAGCAGTGTTGACTCTGTAGTCAGTGGCAATAGAGAATTTTTTGTCACTAAAATATGTACAGATCTGACTAACTTTGGGAGATAATACCAAAAAAGGCTGCCATTCAATATTTTATGTATTAAATTAAAAGAAAATACACAATTTAAGGATTTTTTTCAGCCTTCATTCAGGAGGAGTTCAGGTGGACTTGAATCTTGATTTATATAGGTAATAATTAATTATCTCTTTAAACAATAAATTATTATATTTTCCTCTGGTTTGCAGTTCAAATCCACACAAAGTATTTCACAGATAATTTCATATTCTAAACTGCCAACAGTTAGGTGAATAAGAGTTATTAAAACTATGGGTCAGATTAACAGCAAATTAATCACAGTAGAACACCAAAAATTAACAATGTCTTTTAAAATATCAGATTAGATGAAGAAAGATGATTTAGAAAGTTTATATTCTCTTTTCCACTTTTCTGTTACAGATCTCTGCCTTGATCCATTGACTTGGCTTTGCTGCTATTGGCAACAATTACACAGACACTTCAGTATATATTTGAAAGGCATTTTAAATGTAGATTTTAAATAGTTTGCATATATCTGTTTTTTAATTGCATTTGAATATAATTTTAAAAATTAATAACTTCTTCTTGTCTTTGTTGTTTATGCAGGATATCCCAGAAACACCAGATCTCTAACACATGAAAGGCAAGCTCTGAGAAGTACAAAAGGTGTGCTTGGATTAGAACAACTGGATCAGGTATCATTGCAGCAAAGAAGTGGTGAACTTTGGGGAAGAATGGTCGAATTGCATAATATGGTGGAATTTTATGAATCAAAGGAACATGATTTTTATTAGAGGCAGAGTTGACAGTCTTCTATGAAGAATGGGGAACTTATTTTAGGTAATTATTTTCAGCTTTGCTCAGGAAAAAAAAAAAATTGCAATTGCTACCAGAGGATTCTTTTTGCCCCTCAATGGCCAAAATGCAGTTTACAAGATTATTTTTAAGTTTGAAAATGTCGAAGAGAAGACAGTGCAAGCAGAGGTATTGTGTAATTTCAGGTGTGAAAGGACAGAAGTCTGTTTCTGATCCTTCACAATCATGGACCAAATTCTCCCTTTCAAAATACTTGTACTGTGTTTTTGAGGCTTCCATCTACTGTTGCAGCTGAAAATATGTTACTTCTTGTGGTGCACGGAGCACTGACCACGTACAAGAGTGCTGATGAAATGACTGCAGGTAAATAGAAAGTGCACAGATGGTACCACACCCCAAGTTATGAAAATAATGTATTTAAATATGTTAAAAATTACATTTAATCTATTTTTTATTTGGTTGTAAATGGAAGCCACTGTGGCAGTACTGCTTAGCCACAGCGTATTTTAAATTTTCTCAGAAAAGTCAGGTGGTCTTTGGACTACGAATGTTTAAGACAGATTGTTTTGTGCAATACTAAAGGGAAAAAATTCAAAAACTTCTATAAGAATTTTAAGTGCTGTTTGTGTGCCTGCATGTGATGCCAAATGCATTTGGGATGGGCAGGACCCTGCACCCTGGGGGCATAGTTCTGCCCTGGCACTGAGGCTCTGAGCATCTCGTCCGCTCCCTCATGGCTCATGCCAGAGTGTGTGGGGTCAGGGATGCTGTTGTTGGTTTCAGGTCCTCCCTGCTGTGGAAGTCACCAATGGACTGTAGGCACTCACCTGAGAGCAGCAAGGAGACCTCAAGCCCAGGTTCAGAGCCCGGCTCCCTGACACCTAGCGCAGCCAGCAGCAATTCCGTAGGTGCGCCACGGGCCGGAGCGGCTCCGGGCAGGCCGGCAGCGGCCAACGCGGCTCGGGAGCGCAGCCGCGTGCAGACGCTGCGCCATGCCTTCCTGGAGCTGCAGCGGACCCTGCCCTCCGTGCCGCCCGACACCAAGCTCTCCAAGCTGGACGTGCTGCTCCTGGCCACCACCTACATCGCACACCTCACCCGGAGCCTTCAGGATGAGGAAGAGTCGCCAGGAGAGGCCTTGGGGACCCTCCGAGGGGATGGGTACCTGCACCCCGTCAAGGTAGGAGAGCTCAGGAGCAGCTTCCCTCCTCCTCCTCTGAAGTGTCATTAGCTGATATTGCAGATAGGGAGATTTCAAACCTGTTTGCTAAAATTAATAAATGAAAACCCTGCCTGCTTGAGCTTTCTAGAATAGTTTAACCCTTGTATTGGGGTGCTAGGACTGAAACAACCTGGAGCTCACTGGCATTTTCCCTCCATCATCAAGGACTTTGCACAATAGTATCAAATATAACAGAAGTCCAAGGCCAGTGGGACTTGATTTCTTGGAACTTGGGAGAACGTAGGGAGGATGGGGCCAAACTCTCCTCCGTGGTGGCCAGTGACAGGACAAGGGGTAATGGGTACAAGCTGAAACACAGGATGTTCCACCTCCATGTGGGGAAGAACTTCTTTACTGTGAGGGTGACGGCCCTAGAACAGGCTGCCCAGAGAGGCTGTGGAGTCTCCTCCTCTGGAGATCTTCAAACCCGCCTGGATGCCACCCTGTGCCACATGCTCTAGGTGTCCCTGCTTGAGCAGGGGGGTTGGACTAGATGATCTCTAGAGGTCCCTTCTAACCTTAACCATTCTGGGATTCTGTGAACTGAAGGAGGAAGGCAGGAACCAAGGAGTATCAGTCCTTGTGTTAACACAAGTGCAGAAACCTGCTCCCAAAACCCAGCTGAAGTCATTGCAGGTAATGGAGGAAACCAGCTGCAGTGGCCCCAGTCACGGCAGCGCGAGGCCTGTGCTGCCTCTGCTGCGGAGCCAGCTATGAAATGTGACAGTCATTTCTGGCCATGTTTTAACTCCTGATATAAAAGTGCTTTTCAGGCTCTTCTATTTCATCTAGTTGGCATAAGCTGTTATTTTTCTTCCTTTCATCAAAAAAAATTGTGGAGATGGAGAGAGAAGGTGGAAGGGGAAATGCTATTAAAGAGTACCTGGGGATGAAAACTATTTTCAAATACACTGCCCAGTGACTGATGTGACTTTTGAATACCATGAGGTATTTTCTTTGGCTCTGATCTCAGGGAGTGTGTTAGAGCACTGAGATGGTGTGTCTGATGATCAGACAAGAGTCTGATGAATTGAGAATGATTTAATTGAGATTAATTTGTGAAATAATCTCTAATTCCCATAAAGTGACTAATTCACAGAGAGCTCCTTGTTCACAGAACTGGTCACTAGCTGCACATAAATACATTTTTAAACAGGTTAAAAGCATGATGTGATTGAAGGTTTCTTAGGTAATTTAAGTGATTAACAGACTCATTAAGAAAGCAAAACCTTTAAATAAATTAGAAGATGGTTATATTTCATAAAATAATAAATACTGCAATGTATTTCAAAGTAAGTGACTTCAGTTGATTTGCTTGGGCAAAATGAGTGTACAGAGTTCTCTTATGATACTTTTTAATGACTGCCAATTATTACAGGCAGAAAAAATACTCTTAACGAGTTATTAAAGCAGTTAAATTATCCAGATGCACAATTCCCAGACTAGTGGAATAAAGCAATAGCTGATTCATTTAGCAGTTATTTTTTACTAATCTTTCTTAATGTGTCATCTGCTTGTCTTTACTCTTGATGAAGTACAGGTTGAAATCAAAATCCAGTCAGTCAAATCAGTGTTTCCAATATTCTTGATAATAAAATACTTTCTTTAGTTGGAACTAGAACCAAAAGGTCAGAGACAACTTTAGTAGTAGTAGTATTTATTAGCAAAGTATTGTATACATCAAAAAAAAATAAAGTGCAGCACAGATAAAAATGGTAACTAAACATTTATATATTAACCATGGTAAATAGAAATACAAAAACTGAAATAGCCAAGTACAGTTACGTGTACACAAACAAGAAACACGGTTAAGGACTTTAAACTAGCCAAGTCGCACCTGATTTATTAGTGATGCAATTCATAACAACAGGCTTGCGATAAAAACATTGAGATCTTAAATAGTCCTTACAGTAAGAAGCATTTTGCTTTTTATCTCTTGAATAGAAGATTTGAGGTTGAATTGCAGTACAAAAATACTTCAGACTTCAGAGTTGCCTTTGTGTCAAACCAATATTGTTTTTCTATTTTCTGCTTTTGTAACAGAAGTCAGTCATTGATTCGGATGCTACAACAAGACTAAGTTAGTTCAGTGTATGGGACTAAGGTCATTCCATTATGAGGACTAATATCTCCATTCCACTCCTGGAGTATCCTTGCACACAGTAATTAACACATAAAGCATGAGGACCCCTCAGTGGAATTACCAATGCATTTAATTGAGGGGCCATAGCTCACATACAAAGAGTGGGAGAAATCCAGATTCACACAAGTCAAGTTCAGAAGCAAGGTGCCAAACTGTTCCCAAAAGTTACTTTTTAAAATATCATTACCCAGAACACTATGCTGGCTGTTTTTCACATATTTTTTGTATCAAACATGTGACAGGTTTTCCTTTCAGAGATCAACTTTACAATAATCAACTTTGAATATCAAATTCAAGTGGAATTCTTCAGCTGGGCAAGACATGCAGCTGAAATAGTGTTTATTGTGTAGGGATTGCTGCAAAGCTGCTAAGAAATGCTGGCTACAAAAGTAATTGCCATCCCAGCAATGGATTTTGTGTGGTGGGTTGGAATGACTGTGTGTGATCTGTGCACACGCTGGCCTGAAGCAATGAGGAAAATCCCAGTAGTAGCCAGGTTACCATATCCAGGAACACTCCGGTACATGTTACTAACGGAGCACCTGCAGTAGAGGTGCCTATAGGATGACATACCAGCATGATATACAACTATGTGTTGGCTCATGAGGATTTTTTGGAACTGGATCTTACAATTTGCTACTTGAGAAAATATCCATGCTGAGATTGAGTTACATACTTTTTGATAACTTTCTTTTTTCAATAAATGACATTTTTCATTATCATTTAAAGCTTTGCTTTCCTAGCTGAGAATTGAATTCAGACTGCAAAGATCCCTGTATTTCAGCTCTGTGCTTGTCTTTTGTCTTGCAGAAATGGCCAATGCGATCCAGGTTATACATAGGAGCTACGGGACAGTTTCTGAATCACTCAGCACAAGGAGAAAGTGCAAGCCAAGGAGAAACAGCAACAAATTCACAAATCTAATCTCCCTTTTTCTTTATTAAAAAAAGAGTTATTTATTTCATCATATATATTTAAGTTAAGCATCTGCAGACAAACTTTAATTCTCCAAGTACTGTTTATGGTTGAGAAGGAACTGATTCTTGAATGCAATTAATGCCTTATTAACTTAATCTGGTTTATCCCTGTTTTCTAACCTAGAGGGGATTGTCGATACCTGAGCTGAGCAGCTAAGGCAGCACCGCTAGCAGAACAGGGCTGTCTGCTGCAGTGCAGGAAGCTCACGGGGCGGCTGTAGAGAAAGGAGAGGGGGGAGAAATGCAGCGGTGCCCAAGCCACAAGTGCGGGACAAGCTTTGGTTAAAAGCAAGCGGCGGGCAAATCCAAAATGCCAACCAGAGCTGCGCCCACGCGCTGTCGCTGCGCGAAACCCACAGCAGCGAGCTCAGGGCCTGCAGTCTGCCGAGGGCTTCCCCCTTCAGATAGCCTTGCATGTGTGCAGTTTCTTTGAGAACGTGGATGCATGCTCACTTCACGTAAAATTGTTCTGAAAACTCGCATACGCAGCGTCACCTAAAACAAACACCACCTGCTTTGTAGATGACATGTAGCTATATAAAGTAAGTATTGCTTGTACTCGTTGATATTATTGTGTTACAGGGTTTAAAATGTGTCTAAGCCTTATCCCTGCACTGCTACTTGCATGTCTAGATACCAGGACTCATTTATCTTGTCTTCCATGAAGTTGATACATTCAATTAAATGAGCCTTAATACTGGCTTGTTCATAGTACATTTTTCACTTAAAGCATTATCTATATATAGACAAGAGAAGTTCAAACTAATACACAAATACCTTCTGTTGTTTCTGTTCTGTAAAACCTTACTCTTTCCACATAGCTTGTTACTGTCAAGGCAAACCTTTCATTAGATATAATTCAGTGGACCTTATCTATTTACTGAGTTTCAAAAGCAGTATTACTTGTGTTCCTCATTGTACCAGATGAATAGCTTATACTAACAGCATTGTGCATTTTTAGTGACTTGTCGCTGAGGTCTGTTTACAATTTAAATTTTACAGTGACATTTGACAGAGAAGGAAAAATAATGTCAGTTATAACCTTTATAAAAACATTTTGTTGCTTTAATTCTTGAGTCAAAAATGTGGCATCTTTCAGAGGCGCTGAGCACGTCCTTACAAGCCGAATGTTCAGCGCATAGAAAGTCAGGCCTCGTATTGCAATGAGTACCTGCATTAGAGGAGCTATTAGAAACTGTTGGTCAAACCATCCAGGACAGTGCAAGAAGTAACGTGTGATAAAAGGGGGTGCTAAAATCGAGAGACCTCTGTCATTCCCGCAGCTTTCTGAGCTTTGGCAAGTTTATTTAAAAATATTTTGCTCTTGGCATATATTTAATTACAATTCTCAATACTTCACTGAAAGATGAGACTTACATAGAGCATCATGCAGCCAAACAAGCTGTCTGTTGTGGAAAAAAGTAGCCAAGGAAAGTTTATCATAGACGAATATCCACTTGGGAATAAGAGTGTGACTTTTAATAAAAAGCTATAATGGAGGCGTAACTCCATTCACAGTGACAAAATACCAAGCAGCAAACATACAAGCAAACGGAAAACAAATTAGTTCTACATGTAGTTAAGATGTAAATGAATAGCATCAGGTTAGGGAAAACAGGGGAGTAAAATCCCAATCAGAAGTCCTATCAAAACTCCTTCTAATGGCAGTGGAATGGGATTCTTCCTTGGACAATATTATGAAAGACTCATCGAAGACTGCTGATGTATAGCAGCAGTCCAACAATAAAATCGAAAAGGTTGTATGGACAAAATGTGGACACAACAAAAAATGTAGTGACGTTATGCATCAGTTCCATGCTCTTTCCTAGCACAGTGGTTTCCCAGATGCATAAACAATGTGTCTGGATGAGAAGGGATTTTCCAAGTCATATTCCATCAGTGTAGCTGCACAACACTGGCTGCTTACACCCGCAGTAAGCACGCAGGGGAGGTAGCAGTGAACATCCCGTGCTAAAAGCATGAAAAGTAGATGAGTGAGCAGCTTGCAGAAAACATTGCTACTCTGATTTTTACTATAAAAAGGTGGGTTTTGTAATTGTTAGAAGAGGTGCAACAAAACAAACAGGGAAACATAAAAGGCTGCACTTTGCAGGCACAGTGTTCCATTAAAAGCAGAGCTTAGCAGAATGGTGCTGAAGTACGGAAGGGCAGCGATGCACGACTGCAATAGCAGCTTTTCCAGTTGTGTTATGTAATCCATATAATTACCGTGTACAGAACTCTATGACCTAGCATTTATTTTCTGAAACATCACTCTGTATCACCTGCACACTTTGATGCTTTCCCCCCAGAGGAATTGTCGTATTTTGTTCCCTGGAATTTAAACGTCCGTCCCTGGGACGTGCACACGTGCGGGCTGCAGACCGCGCACCCCGCGCGCCCG